TACATACATACATACATACATACATACATACATACATACATACATACATACATACATACGTACATACATAAATCGGCTTGATGTCAGTTCTGCCTCATTTAACTAAAGGTTCTATTATGTAATCGCCTCCAGGCAAGAATGTTCCTGTCTGGAGTCCTATGGGGAGAATCGGCTTCAAAAACACGTACCCTTCATACGAGAAAACACTCCTCGGCTTCAACTAGGTCTTCACAACCTATAATGCAAACTATACCCCTCCTCATTGTACAGACTAGTTTAAGCCGCGCCATTCTAGTGGAGGAGGAGAAGGGGAGGAGGAGGAAGGGGATGAAGAGGAGGGGGAGGGGGAGGATGGGTAAGAGAAGGAGGAGGAGGAAGAGGAGAAGAGTAGGAGGAGGGGGAGGAGGAGAAGAGGAGGTGGAGTAGCGGGAGGATGAGAGGAGTAGTAGTGGTAGGAGGAGGAGGATGAGTATGTATATGTGTGACGGCAGAGTACCCATTACCTTCGTACGCTGAAAACAAGCTAAACTTGGCCAATTGGCATTTTAAAATTATCCTTATGGAGACGTTAAGCTTGTTTTGATTTAAGTTGAAGACAACTCAATAACAAGTTTTAAACGACTTTACTAATTGGTCTGTGACACCGTATGCCTATTTTGTGCTATAACCTCCAGTGGATTAAAAAACAGATTAATGATAGCATGTGAATAAATACGCTTTTAGATACAGATGTGTGTCTGGAAGTATGTGTGTATCGTCAGAAATGGGACTGTGTATGTGTTTGTGCTTTTGAAGAGAGGTCATGTAAATTCATAAGTGAGTATTTATGTGTGTGCTTATTTATGTGTTTGCATTTTGACTATTGAAGTGTGGCTCTACAATTGAGCCAGAGTTTGAAGATATGGGCAAGATTTGGCTCCCCAAGCTGCTTATTTACTCACACTGGCTTTATATGCGTGTTCTTACGAAGAGGTGTGTTCATGAAGCTACTGGTTACGTAGAAATTATTATGGTTGCCGGATTAAACCTGTCCTAAACGAGTACAGCAGGTGTCAGTTATGAATAGAGGCTAAGCGGTTAGCCCAAGAATTGACTGCCAGGGGCGCAGTACGAGACCGCAAAAAAGCTAAAGTTGAGGAGAGATTGCATTTCAGATGCATAAACAGTGAACCTACATATAACCCAACTCATGACAGGACAGGGAAGAAGTAATCAGACTCTATCCATCATGATCGAATAGGCCTATAAGTCACAAGTGTGCTAATAATAAAAACAAGGGATTGAAGACAGAGGCGAATCGAAGGTAATCCAGGGTTTAAAGCGCATGCCAAACTAGACAGGCTGGAATAGGAGCGGAAGGGATGAACGAAAAATAAGGGAAGCATAAATAGCAAGTCATAAAGGAAAAATAAATAACGAAGAGGCTACAAATAAACTTGACTGAATTCAAAATATTGGATTTAATTGCACAGAAAAAATGACAAATAAAGGAATATCATAAAATGGCATCTCATTTCAAATCAACGAATCTGATTAAATCCCATCTAATCTTATCCCATCT